CAAATTACTGCAGCTTCCACTGTTACGGTAATGAAATAGATTATAAGAAGAAAATCCAAGGAAAGATTGGTCTTTGAGTCTTAGATCTCATACAAAATTAGAATGGATTTTTTTTTCAGCTGTCTTAAAATGTAGTAAGGTTTTAAAGGTAATTAGCGAATAGGATGGAGTAATGAATGAAAAAGTCAACATCTTTCATAGACCAAGACTGAGTTTGAAGCTATCTAAGTAGTCTATCTTAGTTTTAAGACAAGAAAGTGAATTTTGAGACTGAAAATTGCAAGCTTGAGCTGCACAAAGCATTAGGTTGCTTTTGAAATTAATATGATTATTTTAGGTATTGAACTTTAAAAACTGTTCCTAAGGAAGCAATTTTAATGAGATCGATGAATTTTTATAGAAACTTAGTCTCTTATCCTTCTTAAACTTGATTTTGAGCCTCTATTTTGATAAAATTATTGGTTTTATGTCCAGTTTTTGATCAAATTGTTCGATTGGGAATCAAACGCGAACTTTTAAGATTTAGAATCACATGTTCTTCAACGTTAGCTGTAAGAATCTATTTTGAAGCTTGACAGAATACCAATACAAATTATTAGAACTGAAATCAAACTAATGAAATCAAGAAACTGATCTTTGGATCCAAATTCTATTTAAAGATTGTTAAAGATATTAAAAAAAATCGACAAAATCAATCAACTTAATAAGAAATCAGAAGTATCAATCAATTATCGTCCCAAATTTAACTAACAATGTACATTTTGTCGTCAATAAAACTGCATATTTTTATTTTGACTGCTTAATTAAAACAGCATAATCAAATGCATAATCGATTACTAAATACGATCCAAATACTTTTTTTTCCTGTATGTCAATAGTTGATTGATTTTTAAATTAACTGACTGGATCTCAACAGACTAGCCTCTCGTCTCAGGTTGCTTCAAGTCTCTTAACCAATAAAAAAAAAATAGCTTGCGGTCATAACGTTTGCAGAGCCCAAGAAAATGCGCTACGTAAAGAAAAATTGCGCAAGTCCATTGGATACGCAAAAAGTCAATTAATAATCATCATAATGAAAAGTAAATTAATTAAGTCAGAAATTTATGTTCGTCATTTTTCCGTAATATTATTTTAAACATGCAAATTGAATATTATAATGAGGCACAGCACATGACACAACAAAGGAGAACACAATGTGATACACTTTATGATTATGCACATAGCAATTCTGCACTCCTTCATATTTTTATTTGCTGTTTTAGCGCATTTTTGAGAATAATCTGCTTGGTTGTGCACTTTGTAGAGGTTGGATTCGAACTTAATCTTAAAAAATTTAAATTCCAAAAAACCGTTGAAAATTTAATTCTAAATATAAGTTAAAATTTGAATTCCAAAAGTCAGTTATTTTTTCAAATTTTTATAAACCGTTAAGAATTCTTCAAAAATGCGCCATAGTCTCTTAAATTCTATAGCCGAAGGACTTTATTTATATATTTATTTATTCTGTTGTGCATCATTTGTTCATACGTTCTCAAGTCTCTTTCTCAATTCACAGTTATAACTTGCATAAACCAGTGGACTGGAATGAAATGATCCTCATTTATTCACATTTTTATTTACAGCACTATTCACAGTCCATTGCCATTTAGATGAGAAAAAAATATATATATAAACATTCAATGACCGATCAGGCAGCGATGATCACTTGCTGCTTCAACACTTTTTTGATTCTATGGCAAGGCTTCATTTACTGCATTTTAATTAAATATTTTAACACGTTTAATGCATTCTAATTTTGTCAATTCTGATCGTGTTTTGTATGAAATTTAATTAATTAGCTAACATCATTGTCAATGGAAGCATGATTAATTTTAAGTATTGACTGCTTTTATGTACTTGACTTTGATTTTTATGGTGATTTGATGGAATTAAATTGGATTTGATGGGGGGATTTTTTAAAGAGGTTTTTGGAATTGGATTTTTAATAGCTTTGAGCTTCCGAATTAGTTGAGGATTCATCTTTAGATAATGAGCTTGTTATGTTGATTGCTAATCTCTTACTTCCGTGCAAAAATTAAGTTTATGAAGTGAATTGAATGGGGAATATAATTGAAAATCTAATAAAATGATTTGTAGATTGGAATTTACTAGCTTTGATTTAAAATGTATAAAAATTGTAGCTTCCTTATATTTAGCAAAGAACAAAGACTAGGTTTAGGGGGATGGAGGGATCTGACAAGTTCAGAGGCTATCTAGAGTTCAAACTTCACTTTCAATACAACACTTAAACCCTTTTCTAATTTAATAATTATCGTTACTACAGTTTTAACATCAAAGCTATACAAAGCTACTAGTTTAAACTTGAGAAGAAACTCGGTGAAGTTTTATAAGAATTTCAAATAAAACCTAATTGGAATATATTTTTTAAAAATACATTTACAGTCTAATCTTGATAAGTTTCCACTTTTTTAACATTTTTTAAAAAATAAACAATTTTAAAATATTTTTTAAAAGTTTTGGAAATTAAAACCAAAATTTTTATTCCACTTTACAAAATTTAAAAAAAAAATTCAGCATTAAAATTAATTTAATTAATTAAGAGTCCATTAAAAACACAGTAAATGAGGATCATCACAATTTTCCACTATTCAGTCCACAAAACAACATCAAAAGTCCATTATTAAATAATCAATTCACAATCTCGTCCACAAAACAATTCTTTTTTATTTTTATTATTTTTTTTGCAACATAAAATTCAACAACTTTAATTTAACATTTTCAAAAAAAGTATTTCCATTACCGTACTCTTCATTTATTGTTAACAGTCTGACGACACGAAGCAAACTGAATAGTAAAACTGAAAAATTGTTTATTGCCGGCTAGAGATTATTTTTGCCTTTACGCTCGCCAAAAGCAAAAAAAAAAATCCCGACGCTCGCAAAACGAATGAGATTAGCTTGCTAGCTTCTCCTAACACACACGTTAGATTTTGTTCGTCGTGCAGTCACTCATTGAAATCTTTCTTTCGTGTAAAAGTGCAACTCTCTCTCAATTCTCATCTTCTCAACTTGCACTGCATCTCTCAATTTTTTTTCAGCTTTTGTGACTTTATTTTCATTTCATTTCATTTCTTTCTTCTCACGACTTAGTTTTCATAGATTTTTAAAGTGTGTACTTTATTATGTGCTGGATATAAAGATATAAAATTATGTAATAGAAATAATATTGGACGATTGTGATCTTAGATATTTATTATGCGATAAGTTAAAAGCAATTTAAGGTTTTTTTGCTAGATTTTTTAACAGTTATTAACGAGTTCAGCTTGTTCCTTGTGATGATTTTTCGGGAAAATAGGAATGGTTGTTGAATGAATTTGCATTTAAGCAATACTTGGACACAATAGTTTACACTAGACTATAAATACTAGGCTACACTAGTTAAACTATTTAACACTAAGAAACATTAGCTTAAACTATTTTATACTAGATTACGTTTGAAATCACTAGTTTACACAAGGTTTACATATGGTTTACACTAGAACCCACAAAGACTCACAAGAAAACAATAGTTTTTACACAACTATCTACACTAGATAATAGTTGAGAATATAGTAACGGTTATTTAATTTTCAAATTATGCATAGAACTACATTTAGTTTACTTCCCCTTGTACAGTTGTTAACCCTTTCATATGAATATTCAGTCTGTGTCTGATCTTTGAAATAAAAAGATCTTTTTGACTATATTATAAACCGTACAGTATCTTTGATTAGGTTTATTAATTAAATAAACATTGAGTTTATCATATCCAACAATAACAATTTAAATACACCAATTAACTAGTTCATGTGTTCTAGATTCTACACAAATCTACAGCTTTCAAACTTCTTTTGAACACAGTTTTCAACGCAACGTTGTCTAGCCAAATGACACTTTCGGGTCAAAATCATCACTGCACCCAGACGAAGTTTTAGAGTCATTTGCTGATTTGTTTGTATTTTACAAATCTCCAATCTCTTGAGATAGATTGCATGATTGCTTTTATAGGAAAACTAGTTTCAATTACTTTAGTAATTATTTCTTATCTACTTGATCTTCTGAATGATTCTTCTTTATTCACAATCTTAATTAAAAATCACAAAAAATCTTACTTAAAATTCCAACAAGGGAATTATTGCAAAAAACAATCTCACAAAAAACAGCACATCACGCTTCTTTGCGGTTTAGTGTTTTTCTCACTTTATGGATGACATTCAAACAACTTTTATTTATTTTTCAAAAAAAAAAACCATTTCTCATTTACAAATTTTTCATGCATTTAGATCTCTTCCGTTAATTGTATGGAAATAGACGAAACAATCCAAATGATGAGGTCTTGTATGTAAATCTCAAAAAGTTGTTTGTTGATGAATTTGTGGACTACAAATCCGATTGATGTACATCATCATCACATCTCGCTCAATGAACGTGCTTGAAACTCACACACGATTGAATCGATGGTTTTTCAAGGTTAAGTTCATTTGTTATTATATATAGCTATTGTTTTCCAGTTTAAGTTACTGTTTTTATGTGTGATGAGGTTTTTTGTGGATTATATAGTTTAGATGAGTTGTTTGTTCTGTGGATGGAATGGGTAATTGTTGAAACAGATACTTCTGGTCTAAAATCAAGGATAGTTCGAGGTTAGGGCTAATACAGGATCTTGTTATAATTCTAATGATCAAGGAGTCGGTTTCTAAGGCTCTTTGGGAAACCTTACCTTAGGATCGTACTCTGAGATGAGAAGCCGGCCCAAAGACCAATTAATTCCATCACACATCGACCATCGTCCAACATACCTCACGTATCCCCTCATCCCTAGTAAACAAGATCATTCATTACAATAGAAATCACTTCTAAAACGATACGCGAATGGACTGATGAATATTGAAGCGTCAAAAATTATCAAAATACAAAATTATAGGTTCTTTAGAATCACTTAACAGTAATAAGACTCATTTAATGGATGCTAATTTAATTTTTTTATTACATAAAATTATTTAAAATCAAGTTTTTACTTTCGACTATGGACTGAACGTCTTATGCTAATGAATTCTAAGCTTAGAAGTAGTAAAGTGTGTGGAAAAATAATCAATAAATATTTAAATGCTCTGTTGTTGTCAAAACTTCCGATTTTCGAATTGGAAATACCCAAAAAATTACTCGGAAATGATTTTTAAGTCGTCACTAATTGATGAATGCGCCACAGTTGCCGAGAACAAGGTAAGAGAACTGCTGAACTGATTTGATACATTTGTCATCAGCTGCGTCCTTACAATACTTCAAGCTAACGCATGGATTTGACAAAATCGCGATTGTCTTTACATTTCTAAGGTTCGAAAAGTTTGCATCAATTCTTCTAATTTCATTGCTGTCAAAGAGGATTTCCTCAAGTTTAAGATTGTTGTTGAACATATTGGCCGGAACATATTGGAACTTGTTGCTTCTTGCCTTAAAGACTCTCAATTTTGACATCGTCTTAATCCAATCAGCTTCCAAAGTTTTTATTTTGTTTCTGCAGATGTCAATCAGTTCAACATTCTTCAAGTCCAAAAATGTATCAGGTGGAATAACTTCAATTTCATTATCAGAAATCAGGAAGAATTTTAATGGTTCAAGTCCTTTTAGTTCTTTTCTGTCAATCTTTTTAAGTTTAGTAAAAGTGATTCCAAATCCATTTAAATTTGGGAATGTTTGCATGACTTTTGTCATTTCTGGGAAGTTTGTGACTTTCCCGCCTTTCATGTGCATGACTGAAACATCTCGACTAGTTCTGCCTGATTTGTGGGTTCCTCCATTAATGTTAAGGGTGATTTCATTATCTGGAGCGATTAAGTCGTCTATGTAGCATCCGTAAGTTGTGCTGTTGGATTGTAAAAGGAGATAACTGATTAGTATTGAGCTTATAATGGTCAATTTAATAATCAGCTATGGCCAACAATATTTAAGAAGGTAAAAGTGACTAGAACTTTTGTGATTGAGGGTTTTTAAGGATATTAGAGATTTTTGATGACCAATTTTGGCGAAAACAGCATCAACTAATTCATAAACAGCAATTGACTTACCCAGCATTTCTAAATGTACACTGTGCATTAACCAAATTTGAATTCAAACTCTGTGCACTTCCATCACCATCATCAAAGCTATTGAAAACAGAATCAAATGAGTTTGCGTTCTCAGTCACTGAAATTTCCGTCTTAACCCAATTAGAAAATTTAGCAACGTCTGTAAATAAGACAAAATCATTGGTTCCACATTCTTGGATGACAGCAGCTGACACAATTCCTGTAATTTGGAATGACTTTCCATTGTTCACGTAGTATCCAGATCCAGAGTCACCTGAAATGTGAATAGAAATGTTTGCGAGGGAAAGTTTTAAGATTTTTGGGGATTTCCCGGCTATTGAATTAGACGTAAATACTTTAATTGATTTCATCATTACCTTGACACGGCGTTTTGCCTCTCTCGCCAGCACAAAACGTTCGCGGGCTTGCGAATTTTGCGAAATTATAATCATTGAAGAAGCAATCCTCGTTTGTGATTGACTTAATTGTTACTTTTCGTGGATGCTTTTCGTGAGTTAATTGAGATTCCGACTTTCCATAGCCAACTGTTGGGATATACATAATATTAAGTTACTCAATTGTTAAAATTCTTTAAGAATTCCAAGCTACTCACCAACAGTTCCAGTAGTTTTAATTGGACTGTAACCAGGATTTGGTAGACAAACTGGCTGAACAACCTCGGAGTACTTAATTGGATCTCTTAGCACTAAGATTGCAATGTCAGCATCAAATCGAGTGTCTTTTGGATTCCATGCTGGATTTAAAATTATTCTCTTAACATCAGACTTGATTGACTTTGGTTCATTTATTGATGGCGTTATGTCCAAACGACCAATGTATGCATAGATATCACTAGCTGATTTTGGACCTAATGACTGCTTCCCATAAATACAATGAGCGGCTGGAAATGATTTTTATTCTATCCATTAATGACGACTAGAATGAGCTTGATAACTTTAAGTAGTCGGTATCAGGCTGTCTTAAAACTCTAATTTCTACATGATAGACGTCACTACTGACCCATCCCTTCTTTAAAATTCAAATTATCCCCCCTCTCACCTGTCAAAACATGCTGATGACTTATCAAATTTCCAGAACAAAAGAACTGGTCGTTCCTCTTTAAAAATAATGACACAACCCAAGGCCATTCACCTTCAGTTACTGCTGAACCACCGTAAATTAATTGATGAGCTGATTGCTGCCTGCCACAACTTTCTTGAGTGGCTGTACTTTTAAGGCAAACAATTAATATCCAAAATGTCAAGATTCTTGCCAAAAATCCCATTTTTTTGATAATTCAAGATTGTGAAGCTCCGATTGAGATGTGTCAACTTCTAATGAAGGAATTCAACTGATTTTTTTGTATATGTTAATTACAATGCAGCAAACGTGTTTTCTATTCTATTTTTTTTTTTATCAAAACAAGTTTTCTGTAACATCAATGGTTGTAACTGGATTCATATTACAAACTTGCGGGAATTTCTAAGTTTTATTACCCGATTGGAAATTTTATATTGATGTTAAGTGTGATATTCACCTCTTTACTGCTCGGAAGTAGCTTCGGAACTAATAAGACATTAAGAAACTAGTTCCAAAATTAAAGTTCTTTGAGTTTTAAAAGTTTCTTAAGTTGTTGAATCAAAATATTATCACAACAATGATAATTGGTAAAATGATTTTTTTTTCGGATGGCTCTAAGGAAGCTAATTAATTGAAGTGTGAGGTTCAACTTGAATCAAGTCATACAGCTGAAAATATATTAAGTAGCAAAGCTTAGTGTTGATGGTTGTTTGAATGTAATTTTGAGTCGTTCACAGATGACGTATTCAAATTCCTTCTTTCACTATGTTCAAGACACCTCTTGCCTAGAATTTCACTATTTAAGCTAGTTCTCTTTTTTGTAGCTGCCCCACCATACCTTAAACAGCTCTAGAAACCATTCTTAGACGACATTTGTGGACAAACCTGTAATTAATCACATCGACATCACACTAACATTAAACAGCAATTACATCTTACAAATCAATTCAAAGAATTCAACACATGACTCATAAAAAATATTGAAATACTCAAATGCAACAAAAAGGAACTTCCCTATAATTTTCATGTATCCAAACTTCAACCACAAAAAGAGGTTAATGCTCAACTCTCGATTCTGCATTTTATAGAAATGATACTAATTTGAATGAACATAATTGCTTTTGAATTTTGGATTTAGCATTTCTGTTCAATGCTAATGCTAACAAGACTTATTTTAAATGTTAACAAGGGTACATTGACTTCTGACTGAGTCAAAAGTTTAATTGAATAATGACTTGGGTAGATGTACATGATTATTGGTTTCTTACGCTTGCAAACTTTTTGGTGCTTTGAGGCAATCTTTAAATTGTTCTATTAAGTTGTGACGAAGTCTCTTTATTCTTGCTGGATGTGCTGAAAGAAAAGATTCAGGAATTGTTCTGCTGAATTTTTTTTTAATTGACTTTTAGAATGAATAGAAGTGCTGAAGCTCATCATGACATTGAACTGGATTTAATTTAAACTATTCTTGTTTGATCATCGAATTTGAATTTTAGAATTGAATGAAGAAATTTTAAGGTTGAATGAGAGTCTTTAGGATCGAATGAGAGTCTTTAGGATCGAATGAGAGTCTTTAGGAACGAATGTGAGTCTTTAAGATCGAATTTGAGACTTTTCTGTTATAAACTATTAACCTAGTCTCATTTTGGCGCCAAAACTTACATATTCTAAATGTCCTCAAATCTTCAAAGTCAATCCTGGTATTAAAGCAATTTGCATGCTTAATCTACAAAAATAATGAGACAGATAATCCATAAAAAAAGAACAGTAGGAATTTATCAAAGAATTCCAATAAAAAAAAGTCCCACATTGAGTCTCAATTAAATTTATTATAAGTCGGCCTGCAACAAAAAGTGCCTGAAGAAATCTCGAAACCACACATGAATGTGCATACATGAAAAATGCCAGACAAAATCGACAAGAACTCCTACAAGAGAAAATTAAATAAATATTCTCAGATAAATCTGTCTGGATAAAGTCTCAAAGAATTTAGAACATTTTCGGAATTTCAGCATTTCCTCGACAATCGGAGTTGAAAATCAGAAATAAAAAAAATATTTTCAAAATCAGCTGAAGTGTTTTAAAAAATTGCTCCTATTAATCATGTTTTATTATTCCCTAGAACACATTGAGCAATATGAATTGTCTGTCCATGCCCATGTTTGTATAAATTGCGAATTAATATTTATGTCGTACACTACGTCTTATAATATGCCTATGCTGTACATGGCTTTACTCAATTAAAAGAAGACTTTTGGAAAAATGAAGGACGACAATCACTCATGAATTCTCAATGTTGATACACATTGGCTGCATTTACAATTCGTAGTATTATAAATTTTTCATTGTATCTTGATTGTTGACAGTTTTGAAGGATTAATGTTAAGCCGAAGTGGACGTGGATGGGATGAGAATTAATTAATTCTTTTTTGAAAGGATTTTTTGATTTATTCTTTGAGTTTTGAATTCAATTTTTAAACTTTTTGATCCAATTTTGTACTTTTTTATTAAGTTTGGAAGTTTGGTTTGAATTCAAATTTCGAACTTTTTGATGAAATTGGAATTTTTTGATCAATTTTCGATCAAATTTTGAACTTTTTGAATTCAAATTTTAACATTTTGATCAACTTTTGAACTTTTTGATCAAATTTAAAACTTTTTGATCCAAATTTGAACTTCTTGATCAAATTTTGAACTTTTGGATCAAATTGAGAACTTTTTGATCAAATTTTAAACTTTTTAATGACATTTTGAACTTTTTGATTGAATTTGGAATTTTTTGAACAAATTTTGAACTTTTAAATCGAATTTTGAACTTCTTGAATTCAAATTTTAACTTTTTGGTCAAATTGAGAACTTTTTGATCAAATTTTAAACTTTTTAATGACATTTTGAACTTTTTGATTGAATTTGGAACTTTTTGAATTCAAATTTTGAACTATTTTTAAAAATGCGCCCATTCCTTCCATCTCAAACTTATCATCATTATATCTTACAATCCTTTGTTTGCTTTTACAATTATCATGCCAAGTGCATTAAAGCACGCCCGAACGCTCCTAATACATCCATAAATATTTCCTTAAACGTCTACACAGCCACGGAATTCTTTGAAAGTCTTTATTTACTCTTTCAGTTTAAACTATTTCAACTTGGCAATGACCCGATAATTTGCTGCATCTTGCAATTCTTGATTTACAGCTTGGCTATTCTCAGTTATTGACTTCTGTTTCTCTTTCTCTCTTAACTGTTGCTGCTGTGCATTATTTTTAATCACAAAACGTGATTTGGTGCTTTTCATTTCCTATAGATGAGATTTATTTTGGTATAGACTGTTTTTAAGTGGATTTTCTAATTATATGGACAAAAATTAGAGACGTGACTTGTGTGGAAGGGCTTGGAATATTTTTTGAGAAAGAAATTTATGATGAAGTCCGGTAGATACAGCATAAAAGGAGAGAAAATATTTCGATGCCATCGACATGCGATTTAAATTGAATATTAGATTGTTTTGTAGCTGATGTAATAAAATAAGCAAGTAAGGGAGTAATTGAAGTTGGATACATAAAGCGCATTTTGAATTTATAGCCTCCAAAACTATTTAGTACCCTACAAATAATTACAAAATTATAAATTTTACTCAGTTTAAGTAGGAACATTATCAATTAAGAGTTATCCAGGAAGTAGTGGCGTCAGGAGTTCCAAATCATCACAAATTTCCTCACAATCCTGACAAACTGCCACCATCAATCCGAACTTCCTCTACAAAACCTTCCAAAAGGGTTTTAGGAAGCAAAAGCAACTAAATTGAACACAAAAAAGTACCGAAGGAGATAGAGAAAGTTTCTATGCTATTGTGCATGCCATCGACAGTAAATTATGGTACCTGTAGCTTCAAATAGCACCAGCCAGCGCCGATCGATTGCACAACATTCATGACTTAAATAATACTTTTTTATATTCGCATTTATGTAGGGTTCAACAAATCGCATGTCTGCATAAATAAATAAATTTTACATGATCTTTGACATTTTCGTCCGAATGTTGTGCCTCATAATATTTAGACTTTGAGGCACAACTTTTTTTGGCAATCACGAAATTTCATAATCATCTTTGATCGTCCTCAATAAATAAAAATGCACCGTCCACAAAACTTAATTCTCACATTCAATCAACATCTCTGATGCGCTTCATTACTTGCTGTCAAGATGATTCACAGCTCAAAGGCATGACATTTTATTAAATTTTCAGCGAAGATCATCAAAACAATCATGTAGAGACAATATATGTGCATTAAATGGGATCTTAAATAAAAAGGGAAAGTAGTTGAATATTGCAAGATGAGATTAAATAATAATAAAATAAAATCTTTTTTTTGACTGCTGTGCGCATTTTGAGTGTGCTGACAAAGGTCAAGTGTGGTACTTACAATGTTGAAATCGATTTAATGTTGCGAGCATGATGTTTTTCATGTGATAAGTTTTGTTATCATATGCTTGCATCATTGTCATCGCTTTAGGTTTTGTTTTGCTGTTTTGGAGATGATTTATTGCTTGATGCTGGTAGGTGAGGTATTGCAAGGGATCAATACGAGGCTTAAATCGTTGGATTTGTTTATAGACTTTTATAGTGCATTTTCCCTAGGAAACTATGCGATTAAAGGTCAACTTTGACTGGATGGTTGTCTGGCTGGGTGCCATGAGTGCTCGGAACTGGAAGCACTTGTAGATTTCTGGTTTTTTGTATTTGATAGCTGCTAGTTCGTAGGTTTGCAGGATATTTACTGTTTTTAAAAATTCTTCTTAGTTTATGAATTAAATTAACATTTCTGTTTTTAGAGTTGCACATAATTGATATAGGATTAGCCAATAAATTCAAATTTCAAAGAAGCATTAATTTTTGAATCTCAAAAAACAATTACATAAAATTTTTCATTTTTCAATGTGATTATTTTCTAGCTTATATGTTTTTTGAATCCAACAAGATCCTAGTTTTTAGTCTTGGACATAAGTTATCTAACTGAATCATGCTTTTAAGTTCCGAACATGACTTAAATGCTACTGGATGTTGGTTTTTTGTTCTTTTTAGCTGATCTATGCGAGGAAAATGCGCTTAGTTTTTCAACTTTTGGATTTTTTTGAAATTCCAAGAATACCACAAATACATAAAAATAAAGTCCAAAGCTCACCTCTCCTTGAATGTGAATTAATAAAAAAATATATCATGTTTAATAAATGCTTGTATCCAAAAAACCTCTTAAAGATTATTTTTCATTCAGTCACATTTTCTTTTGTTTTATTAAAAAATTAACAACTTTTTACGCCTTTTGCTACTCCAATTTTGTATGGATTTCATTTTATGATTAAAAAAACTTTATA